AGTAGTACAAATAATTAATATTCCAAAAAAAATAAATTATTTGCTCGTAAGAGTATAAATTATAATTTTCAATATCTCAATAGAATATTGACAAATACAATGTACTCTCGAAATAGCACATATTTCAAAGAATATATTATTTTGAATTAGTGTTTATCCTAAAAAGAAAACATATAACTCATGTCATGTTGACATTGATTAGTTTGATCACTTGAATGATTGTTATATGATCATAAAATGTTTAATTATATTTTTCAAAAATTAATTGTATTTCTTTTTATTTTATAGTATAGTTATTCAAATGGCAAATATTATCAAATGCAGAATGAATCGCCAAAATACCTATTTAGTTGATAGTGCAATTGTGCATACTATTCTTCAAGACGAAAGTAATATTTGGACTTAACATTAGCAGAAGATAATGTTAATATGATATCATGTGCATCAAATATCATTGAAGTCTCTAGAAGAGCTTGTATTATTTGATAAATATTGATGATAAACTTTACTATAACAATTCCAAAAGAAATTTGCATAATTTTAAAGATATCCATTGCATTGGATATTACAAACCCAAAGTTCTTTGACCAAAAAATTTACTCTTTGTCACGACCAATTAGACAATCACTGGATCAACAACGATGCAGAACGATGATTTGAATAAATTTTAATATCAATCTGAATAATTTCCTATTTGCAGTTTTTCCCTTTATTGACCTGATCATCAATTATCACTAGCTAAATTGGAACTAAATCCATCTATTTCTAAAAATTAATTAAGGAGATAAAAGGAGCTCATCATCCTCTACGTTGACCATCCAAATATTATTTGTATTTAATAGATTTGATACATCTACTAGATAATTGCATAGTGTTTACAACTTGAAGTTTGCGAAATTTCAACCCAAAAAGTAATTTATGAACATATATTCAGATTATACAATCAAAACGGTGTGCCTTAATTAATGTCAATGAACTTAAATCTCAAACTTTTAATAAGCATTAGTTGGGATAACAATAACTAGTTTAATACTATTATTTGTTGAGTGCTTTCAAATTAATTTATAAACTTATTATTGAGAACGAAGTACTTCTCAACTCTATCTAAGGAATGCTATTAGCATCATGCCAACATCAAAATTTTCAACGCTATACTCGAATTATGGTTAGAGCATAATTTTTTTATATAAATATTTTGATAGTGTAACATTTGTACAATTGATCAACCACAATAAACTACGATAGAAAGTAAAGAATGCTGAAAATAAATGTGTAGTTTAAACTTTTAGACAATATCTTAAGTCCTAAGAGGTGATATTTTATAACATGATTTGTTGATTGTCAATTTGATTTGACAATTCTCTCATCATTAAGGGGAGGAATTAAGAATTTGAAAATAATGTAAAAATGCATAATTACATTATCTAGATCTTCGCAAAAGACATTTGAACTTGAAATTTGAAAAATAATTCACTTTGATGAATTTACTAACCAAAGAAATTAACAATATCTTACATACCTACTTTAAATGCTTAAACTCGAATTGACTCCCGCAAAGACAATTTGTTAATATTATATTTGATATGTCAATAACATGGTTGAAGTTCAATGACATTCAATTCCAAACCAAATTCTTTGAAAGAAAAAATACATCAAATAAGGAAGATGATCCCATTTAGGAGGTGTATATTCTTAGAAAACATATAGACATAATTAATTATAAAACCCCAGAACAGGCTCAAGTACTTGAAATATTGAAAGTAAAGATATCTCAATAAATTATGTCATTTAATAGAAATGAAGTAAAATCGAAAAAGAAAAATTTGTGGACAATACTTTTGCAACTTGTATAAATTAAAATCATTTCTTCAATATCAAGGAATCCCTTTTTTTCTTAAGCCTGAAATAAAGGATTCTTTTGAAACACAAAGGATGAATTGCTCCTGAAAAGGAATTTATTGAATCTCTCCCAATTGGTTGGACCGTAGTTGCGATGATTTATTTTATGGGCGAGGTCTTTGGTTCATGTCCAGGATGGTCCAGCTGTGCTAAGGAAAAGAATAGAAGAAGAATCTAACTATTTCATGCGTGCTTCACTCGTCGCGGGGAGAGATAGCTCGTTGGTAGAGCTCCACTCTTGCAATTCAGTCATTTCGATCACGAGTAGGATGTCTAATTTTCCAAGCGATAATGACGGTATCTTGTAATGTGCCTTGGATGATTTGCTTCTCAAGGTCAAGCGCTTTGAAACGAAGTAATGATGAACCATTAAAAGGACACAATCTTAGTAAATTTGAATTTACTAAAGAGATTTGAAGTTTTTGGACATATAGACCGAAAGGTTGATAAAATCTTATATGAAGATGATAATGCTCGAAGACTATGACAAAACAATATGAAACATACTTCAACAAAAGATAGTTAAACAATTTTAAATGAAGACAATACAGTTTGTATTGTACAATTCAAATAAGAGTATATCAAGTTGAACAGTGCAGAGCATATTTCTCCCAAAGTATTCCATACACGAGTTTCAGATTAATGGTGACATCGATAGTCAACAATTTGTTCAAGTGATAATGTGACTAATTAATTCACAAAAAGCACTATCAACATCTATATTCAAGAAATTGGTTTACGAGATTGGGATATGTCGACTCGTAAACGTCCAGAGATTGTCTGCAATGTCAAAAGCTATGAAAACCAACCTTGCCACTCAATATATTTCTCTGATCAAACTTTTTCGTGCTTCAACAAATTCTCTCCAATTTTTCTGTAAAAAATTATAGATAGAAATTCGAGTCATTGTCAATCATTTGATACAGTGTTCAATATACACATTTATCCATTTTTCAATCATTTTTTATGTGTCAAAGATCAATAAAAAAAAGTCGGTTGTCCTAAATATATAGAGTTTTTCTTTTTTTTTTCTTTTTTCTTTTTTAAAAGTAAAAATTACATCTTTCTAAAATTTTAAGATGCACAACTCAAAAATCAGATCTAAAGAAATTCTCTCTTTTTTTTTTTTTTTTTTTTTTCAAAAATCAAATACTTATTCACCTTTTAATATTATAAAATTAAATTAATTAACATGCCACATCCACTCTACCTCACTCTCAAACCCTAAATTCCCCTCTCTCTCTCTCTCTCTCTCTACGCTCTCCTCTATCTCTAGCAATTTCAAACCTAAAACTTTTATCCTTCTTCTCCGTCTCTTTCCCATCTTTCGGTTCTCCATTCTCTCTTCGTCGCGCGGCATAGCTGCGTGCCACCGCTGTGAGAAACTGCCAATATCCAACATTGTTTTCGTGTCACAGTCACGCGAAGCGGCCTTTGAAAGTCACTGAGTGAGGCTCTAAGTGGCACTGCTCTGTACAAGTTGCATCATTGCGTGCAGCCACCATGATATTGTGTGGTGGTTTCTTCGATCCGTTGCTTTACCGAAGTTTTGGTGTGTTTTTTGTTGGTGATTGTTGCAGGTTTTGTTGGTGGGGTGGTGGTATAGTAGGCTTGTATGAAATGGTGGATTCTAGCAGGTAATGGTGGTGGTGATGTAGGGGTTGATTGGAGTTGCAAATGAAGATAGAGGTGATTGTTGAAGCAAGCGTTGTGGGTGTAGGATGCGACGACGATGCATTTGGTGGTGGTGGTGGTGCTAGCAACGAGGATGGTGGTAGTGGTTAGCGGTTTCGAGTGGGTGGTGTGATGTGGGTGCTTATGACCAATTATTTGAGATTGTCACCAATAAATTGGATATTTTATAAAAATTTGAGTTATGACTTATAAAATTTATGATTTGCGATTGATAAATAAATCGTGACTTATAATTTTTTTTTATATGTGACCGAAGAAAAAATTGACACCTATAAAATTTTTTATTTATAACCATTAAATAATTTGTAATCTATGAAAAATTTTATTCGTGATTGATAAATAATGTGTGACTATCTAATTCGATAATTTGTGATCACTTTGTATAGATTTTTGACTCTAATATATTTAATTCATAAAATATACTTTCAATTAATTATTTCATAAATGAAATTTAATTAATATGATTTTTGAAGTTTTAAATCTTATTTCTTAATTTTAAAATGAACCCTACTTAATTTCTCAGATCATTCTAGAAGATCAGAGGAGGAAACCTCAACCGTAGGTGAGGAAGAAAGGGAAACTCCAAAGATATGAAATTTTCCATTTTTCTTCCAGTACAGTAAAAATAATTGAAAATTCAGCGTATAAGTCTATGATACACTGACAGTCCAACGGAATAACTCCCAATTCGTTGTCGCTCTAAAAAAGAAATATTTGGGTAACACATCCTATTTTCTTGTGATTTTCGACTAGATTCTCACCCAACTATAGTTTCTTTCCATCAGATATCCATGTAAATTATCAAGTTTGTGTGAGCTCAATTTTGTGTCAAAAATATATTTTAAAATAGTGATTTGATAGAAAATTTGTGATTAAAAAATAAGAAAATATTTTGAATTTGCGTCTACTATTAGTTTATCGAAAAATGTGCGATTGAAAAAAAAATGTATTTTAAAAATAATGATGACAAAACAAAGGCCTCATTATAATTTTAAACACTTTGAATATAAAGTTGGATTACTTTTTTTTTTTTTTTTTTTTTTTTTTTTTTTGGATTACTTTGAATATTGAAATGGTTGGACTCTTAACAATATTCTTTCACTTAGTCATGGCAGAATGAGATCTGCAGACAATGCTTGAGATACAAGAAGATCCCATAAAAAGGGCCAAAGGTCAAAAAGTGGACTTTGACCCCCTACCGAATAAACCCTATAAAACGAATCCCAATGTGTCTCCCAAATGACTATTTTACCCTCAAACTTTATATGATATTTACACTACTGAGTCTTTGCCACGTGGGATTTGAGTCTATGTTTTCCATTGACTCATGGTATACATTCTTGCAGCAATGATTTTATGCTCACCGTGAGCATGGCAACACCATATGCACATTGCAACATCGGATGTTATCACGTTAATGACGGATATTATAACTCATGCCCACTATGAGCATTAGATCAAATATGTACATTCTCGAGTTCTGCAATGTACGCGAGGCAGTTTGACAAAGTTTTGTACAAAATAATACTTCAGAAATTTTCATTAGCAGTTGGTTCAAAACTGCCACTTCCTGTAAATTTCCCAATCAACGGCCCCTGTACAAACAGATTACCTACATTCTTTGAAGACTCATGGCATCTTTCTTCAAAGAAGAAAATTAAAGTCTATTTTAAGTCAATTTGAAATTATAATTGTAAACTGATGAGTTAGAAGGAAGAGAGAGTAAGTAAACAAAGTGGGTCTTACAAGAAACACCAGCACATCTTTATTTCACTTTCTCTCCTTTTCATGTGATGTACTCAACCCCACCCACTCTCTCTTTTACTGCAACCAAAGAAAAGTAAATGGCTAATATATAGAGAGGGAGAGAAGGCCAAAGGTATGATTGGTACAATGAGACTGACAGTAAAATGAATAAGATTCACCATTCTTTAGTGCTTCGTAAATATTCAAAATGTTTGAAAAATCCAACAAAGAATTTCATATTTTCATTACCTGTGCAACATTTTTCTGTAAGCTGTACATTTCATTATTCAAAGCCAACTCCCATACCTATCTTTCAGGGAAAACTTGCTCTTTTCCCTATACCTATCTTTCAAATCTTGGCATTCCTTGGTAACCACAAAAAATTACTACCAAAAGAAAGAACCCGGAAAACAATAATTTTCCTCCCACACTGATCCGCAAAATTCAGCCATCTTCTAACAGCATAAAATAACCCCATCATTGAAAAAATCCCAATCAGTGAAAACTAGCAATTTCGAGTCCAAAAATGTGTTGTTCCTAATGGCATCCAGTTCAGGGTGTGTGTGCTCTAATAGTCTGGCGTTCAAGATTTCAAATAGAATCTTCAAAATTTTATTCACCTTTCTGCTACGAAGATTCTACCTACAAAATCTCGAAACCTCTTGGAATATAGCTTTGGATCGACTGCTGATATAGAGGTTGGGTCAGTCTGCAAGGATTTGTAGGCATGCTCGATTTTCTTGCTGATATCATAATCCTGCAAAATGTCAATGATCCCAAAGTAGAGGACTACTTCATAGATTTCACCCCTGGGGGAAGGGGTCACATTGTTAACTCCATACCGATCAAAGTCACTCCTTCGAGCCACTCGCTCTGCTTGTGCAGGCATGTTAGCCCCCAATCTGATCAGTGGTTTCCTGATAAAGAATCGTAAAGATCCAAACTCAAGAGTGAAATATCATCCAAAAAATGGTAGACAAATAAGACCTATAATCAAAGTGATTAATGCCACTTGTAAAGTTAATCTACTTCCGAGTGTTATCTGACGGAAAGACACCAAACTTTGGAGTGCAATATTCAGTCTCATTTGTTTAAACCCAAACAAAGGTGGAAACAGATTCAACCCCTGGTACCTAATTGAATAACATGCAATTACTACCTTTCAGCACTACAAATTTAAATCTGATACAATAGAACTTTTCGAGTGTTTGATTAAAACAACAAAAAATAACAACGATAAAACTGAAGCTTGCAGAATCCTGAAAGGCAACAAATTCTCCAATATTGTACCAGAAACAACTGTAATGTATTTAAGCAACTCAACAATGTTCTAGTAGACGAAGGCTCTTCCAATTGCTTCAACTACCATGTTGATTCAATGGAAGAACAATAATTGATTTTAGGCCCATTAAATCAGAAACAAAGGATCTAACAATCATGCAGTTTTTCATTTGTTTATTAGAAGAAACTAATTGGGTTTCACTGATGAAAGAGGTATCAGATCATAAAGATTTATGACCACCGTCTCTAGTTTATGATCATAACTTCCAACAAAAATCATTACAAGATAGCCCAAAGAAATAGAACAAATGAATTATCATAATTGCATACCTTCCAGCTAGAATTCGATCCATGTCCTGTAGTTCTGCTTCAAGGAAACGACAGCCACGCATGAACTTCTCATTTTGAAATGAATCTCTTTTTCCTGAGCAGTAATTGGATCGCTTAATATTCTTCCTACACAAACTAATCTATCACATATAGGAAATTGGTTTTAATTACATGATAAATTACCTGTACGCAATAGAAATGGGGATAAACCCATCTTGTCCCGAGTACTATCATCACGAAAATGAAGGCCAACCAAAAGACTGTAATCCATGATTTTCTCTGCCTCTAGAAATTCACAATCTCTATCAATTTGCCTGTAAAAGAATTTTATCAAATTGACAAGATGCCACAATGTTAAAACAGAATAAGCATAGAGTACAAGGAGGCAGCATCATACTAACTTGATTAATTCTTGGTACCAATTTCTTTGGATGCGAAACACGAAGTTAAGGTCAAGGTCCTTAAGAGTCGTAGTTTCATCAATCTCTCCCTCAGGCTTATAAGTTGTGCGCCCATGGGATGACCCTTTCAAATCAAACCTTCTATGTATTCGATACTCCGAGCAAAACAAATTTCCCATCACAATGAACCTTGTCTAATTTCAATCAGGTAACAAGAAATTATTTAAATGGCATGCAGTTGTACCACAAATGTAGAATTGAATATTTCAACACCGCCAACATACCTTGACCCCACCCACTGGTTTGACACAATGAACACCATAAAACTTGGTGACAAGGGAATTTTTATAGCGATAGACATGCTGATAGTAACTCGGAAGCATCTTAATAAGCACCTGGAGAAACAGATTACCATATTTCAATTTGCAAACATAATTGACGACGGTTCACAATATAGTCCAACTTAACGTCATCATGATCCTCAATCAGACAATCACAATTTTGCTTTTGTAAATTTAACAAGTCAACAAGGCAGGCAACTAACCTTGCCTTCGGATTTCTTTACTGTCTTAATCATAAATCGATCATCCTGTGTTAAGTAAAAGAAGCTTCCACTCTTTCCAGGAGAAGACAACTCTCTGAGAGAATCATTTTCACAAATTGCCAGCATATAATCTGCGGGATCTACTTGAAATAGTTCCCTCAAATGCCTGACAACCCAGTTATTAAATCACCATTTAGAATTCCAATCCAATAAGGAATCAATATTAAAATCCAAATTGTGCTATAATCCTCATTAATTAGGTCATTTTCACCAAGTTGCATCTATATACTCGGATATTGAAATTAGAACATACATTCAATTACCAAAGAAAAAGAGAAAGTACCAATACCTAAAGACCCCAGGACAATAATCCTTCCACCGGAACTCCACAGACTGGTGGGGCGGAGTCATCCTTGATCCTTCTGGAGGAAACCTAGTCCAAAACTTCTCCTTAGGATTAAAATCGCATGGTTTAAGATCCCGTAACACGGAAGCATACTTTCCTATTGAATACCTAAGGCAAAATAATCATCAACTATAATAGAATCAAACTAGAACAAAACATAGTGCCTATATATTTGCAAAAGATTATCTTAAAAACCATTCTAATAAACATTAATTATCTCACCTAATACCCAATTGGAGATTGAGCATCAGATCATAATTTTTATGCCCTTTCGATATCGTTTGCCCTGGCTTCTTCACTTCCCCACTAAAACAACACCGATTCCTCCGAAACTTCCAAATCCCATCACAATCCAATCGAAACCCATCTCTATACAACATCGAAGCCTCCACATTGTCAATAATATCACATGTAATGTCCCCATCCTCCCCATCTGACTCCCAAATGCATATCCTCTGAAAACTCTTGTCCATCATTCCTATGTCCACCGATGACCTCTTCTTCCCCGCACCCTCTATTATATTCACAGACTCGTTCCCAACGACCGTCAATGGAGATAATTGATTAACGTACTTTTTAAACCCCTCATTCCCGTGTTTGTTGTGTTCAGGATAAAAAGTACCATTCAAGACTTGATTACCATTGCTGTTTTTACTAGAGTCTTTAGACCAGCTGCCAATGTAGCAACTCCCATCAGGCCATGTGAAAACTCCATGGCCCTTTGGAATCCCACTTTCCCAATTCCCATCAAACGTATTCCCATTATTCCAAACCAAAACACCCCTCCCGTTAAGCATTCCACTCTTCCACTCCCCTTTATACTCGTTCCCATTCTTCCACACATACCTCCCTTGCCCATCTTGCAAGTCCTTCTTCCACTGTCCCTCGTAGTAATCCCCATTGCTGTAATGTTTCAATCCATACCCATGTTTTCGATCCGCAGACCATGACCCTTTATATATTTCTCCATCTGATCCTATATAAGTGCCCGATCCCTCCATTCGGCCCGACTTGAATTCACCTTCAAAGGTTGCCCCTGATGGCCAGGATAACTTACCCTTTCCGGAAGCCTTACCCCTTTTCCAGTCCCCCTCATACATACATCCGTCCTTCCACAAGTACTTCCCGGATCCGTGTGGCGTATTGTTGACCAAAGTTCCGATATACAGATCCCCGTTCTGGATGCGCTTTTCAATTATGCTTTTCGCAACTCTACAAGTTGGAGATATAGTGCTTCCGGACGTTGTTCTGATGGTAGAAGGAGTGACCTTTCGGCTGGAGGCTTGGGATTTGATTCCTGGAATAATGATAATTGATTTTGGTGTAGTGGTGGTAGTGGTACTGGAGATACCCGTTTCTCTCTCTAATTTCCTTTCTTCATGCTTTGTTTGCTCCGACTTTTTCTTGTCATTTTCTTCAAGCGAGTTGGGCTTTATGCATAACAACGTCTCGGTCATTTTTCTTAATGAGGATCATATACCTCTGAAAACGAAAATATAAATTATGGGTTTGTCAAACTATGGCCGGAAAGTCTGAAAAAAAGGCCGGAAATTCCATTTCCCGCAACATTCTCCTGTCTTCTATACATCTCGCTTTCTGTAGCTATAATTTATGGCTGGACAAAGAATTTAAGAAAACCCAAAATGAGATGTTTCTAGTGGATTACAAGGGGGTAAATAGGTAGGAATCCTAACAAACTGAAGATTTTTAGAGAGAGAGAGAGAGAGAAAGGGCAGTAAAAAGGAAACTGAAAAAGCAAATGAAGAGAGAGAGGGAGGAGAAGATGTGAACGAACGAACAAATAAATGAACAGTAAATGAACTGTGAGTTATTTTGGGGGATGAGAAAAATGTGAGTTAGGAGCCGATATTGGATTTTACATAGGTTTTAGCTCACCTTGGGAAAGTTGATGATCTATCCATTCATTATTGTGTATGACATATTTGGCACGTAATTTAAATATGACCTAACTAAAAAGTTGAACCCCAATTTTGAAGGCTCCACCGTTCCGCTCTTAAATTTTTGTGAGGAAGGTAAATCGAGGATGTGTCTCAACAGATCAGGGAGTAAGAGCTGTCTGTACACTGCAGCTGCCAGTAAGGTATAGAATAATCTCATTCATATCATTTGCACCATTGGACTATACCCCGGGAGCTTAAATATGACCTAACTAGAAAGTCGATAAATTGTTGTCACGTGTTTCTCTTCTAATCGACGTATTCGTTTTTTCTTTTTTTGGGGGCTATGATTAGGCTTTTTTTTTTTTTTTTTTTTTTTTTGGGTTTTTTTTTTTTTTTTTTTTTTTTTTTTTGTATAGTTTCATAATTTAGTTTTCAATTTTAATTATGTTCAACTCGATGAGCTGGTATTGAATTTGAAAAGTTTGAGTAGCGTTGTTAACTTAATGGCATGTAATCTAGATAGAAACCTAATTTGAAAATTGAAAAGTGGCCTTTGCTTTTTCTCTTGTAAGCACGTTCAATGACTTCTTATTCTCCAAAAATTCTTCCAGACCCCTCTACTCAGTCGTAGGTCAGCGAGACAGAAAGTAAGTGATTAATTGAGGCGAAAAATGAAGGTTGCCACAAAAGGAAGCACTTGATCGATCCAATTAAGATATTAGTTTTTGTTCAAATAGACAACAAAGATCGCATTTTTTTTACTTACCTCTTATAATGAATGGCAGCCAAAGATTCAAAGTCACCATATATTCATGTCTCATTTCCTATTTCGATACCTGCCATAGAAATTCGATACTGGAGCTATCAATTAAGGAGTATCCGAGTATAAGAGTGACTGGTGAAGTAGAATGTCATATAGTATAAGTAGCTTAATGAACACATATACATGCAAAATAATGACATATTGAATTTGTAAAATATATAGCTAATGATAAATTGGCATACATATTTAAATTTAGTAAATTCAGTATCAATTAGTTGGCATCGAATTTTGTGTTGTTTGAGTAATGTTTCTAATCAATGCATTATTTATTGAGGTAAATGGTATGATATTGGATAGAAATATAGATTTATCTGTATAATTCACATTTATTCAATAAATTTGTTAAAATATATATATATTATGGAACCTTAACCGGATCACCATCCTTTGGATTATGGCAACTCAAAACTTGAAGCTGTGATGTCATTTTCATCTCTAATCAATGCTTTGCTTGAATAATGTCTGTCTAAATGGTTTGTAAAGGCAGAAAGCCGTAAGTTTGCAACTCATACATAGTCCACATTTTGTGACCTAATTGACAATAATCGCTTCACAATCTTCGCTAATATTATCTCATGATGTCATTTCTCAATTAAATAGTCGACCAATATCACTGTCCGACTTTCAATATCTTGCCGTGTAATTTTTTCTTGACAAATATATTTTAATAATTAGTGGAACAAAACATAATTAATACGAACTAAGTGTTCATTATCCATTTGTTAAATTGATATCCGACGATGAGAAGGCAAAGGTTTAAAATTGGATTCCAAATAAATCAATTTATTTAGGCTTAAATTGGATGGCAAATAAATAAAATTATTTATGAACCTAACATTTTTTAAGCTCGTTTGGGGAATTATTTTATTTTATTTTATTTTTAAGTCGTTCACTACGTAAACTAAACGAACCAAACAATATAGTGATCTGATTTTGTTGACACATAAAAATTCAGCCCAAATCGAACAGCCCAGAGAATAAAACCCAATGGGAGGATCCCCAAATCAGATAGCCCAAAGAACGAAATCCAATTGAACGAATCAAGGTGAATGCCCAAATAAGGTGCCCAATAGTGCGGTAACGCCATCGTCCAAGTTTGCAAGTCGCTCAGAGTCTGAACGAATAGAGTGGCATACGGTCGTCCAAAGTCTCGCCCAAATGTTCAAGTCGCCCAAGGTATCAACAAACATAACGCATTATGATGCAGTTATTGAGGCAGTTGCTAAAGTAACTTTATCACCTTCCACGACTCGAGGGGTTCAATCCAAAGCGGTTGAACGATGCAAGATAATGGCAGCAGTTAAAAGGACAGTTGCATGACAAATTGGCCACTACAAAGAAAGTGGGTAGTTATAGGGCGATCAAGCAGTTTTTTAGAGCAGTTAATCATAAAGGGATCGCCTATGAAGTATAAAAGAGAGAAAGAACTTAGAAGAAAGGACCGAATCCAAAACTCTCGAACAGAGAATATGTAATTTTCATTCCTTTAGCTTTTAGATTTAAACATTTCCTTTTCTGTAACTCGTGTGCTTGCGCCCCTTGGAGGCACGTTGTTTTCCGTTTCCAATTGTAAGGTTCATCGCCAATAAAAAGAACACCCCTTTTTGGGACTTTGTCTCAAGAGGTTTCGTCCCTTACACAATCGTCTGATCCTCTTTAATTGTTAGCTAATTAAACCGCGCGAAACAAT